ACATTTTAATTACATTTTTTAATTTATTTTAGTTAAATTAATCGCGTCAGACAACGGAGTATTTTGTCTAGCAGATCTAAACTGGAAATTGCTTAAGATCGCATTCTTTCAGGGCGTCTTGGGCCCTGAGCACTACGTCAGGACTAATTGAGGCCCAAGTTTATCGTCGCGTGAGTTAATTGAAACATAACAATGTACTTAGCTGAGGGTCATTAGTTCTTTGTCCGGTACCCATCTCCCCCCGTCGCCCCTTTGTCTTCAACTTCGCACCCCTACTCTTCCTAATAGTAGTCATGATCAATCATAAGCCTTCACCCATTCATGATTAGAGGAATACCATTCTGGGGCTTCCGCTACCACGCAAGGGCTTTTAGCGGCAAACAACCTCCTCGATTATGATCGCTTAAAACGTTCAGAAACAATCCTAGACTCATATTAAGTAATTAAACTTCTCCTTGCTAGAACTCGATCGAAATTTATATAGGAAAAACACAAGTTGATTTATACCATTTGTCGTAAAAACAAAAATGTAAATAAAAATTTTTTTAGCAATGGTAGCGGTAAACAAGACTGAAGAAATCTCTTCATACCACATTTTTTCATATAAAATGAAACAGTGTTACAGCCAATCAAATTTGATTTCCGCATAATAAGTTCAACACACAATAATATACAATTAATTAAGGTTTTCAGTTGAGATAAAAAAGTCAATGGCACGAGCGGGATTCGAACCCACGATCTTCGGCTTGATACGCCGCTGCTCTAACCACTTGAGGCCGTCACGATCTTCAAGTGGTAGAGCAGCGGCGTATCAAACCGATGATCGTGGGTTCGAATCCCGCTCGTGCCATTAATTTTTTTATCTCAATTACATTAATTGGTCAAGCGGACCACAAAACAAAAAAAGTGAATTTAACAAAATAAAATTCATTTCTATTAAAAGGGCTAAATAAAAATAAAAATGTATCACAAATCAAATATATTTTATTACATGCAAAGTAATAAAATAAAATAATTTATTAGACAAGTCTTCACGTTAAAAAAAGCAAATTTTTGCAATCCCAAGACTCAGTGATAAAGATATTAAACTATTAAAACTAAATAATATATTATTATAAGTCTGTATTAAAAAATAATTAAATGGAGAAAATTTAATTCGAAATACTCAACGCATCCAGGGTCTTCCGTACAAAAACAATTTTCATACACAATTGAAGAGTGTGGGGCTAGGGTCAGCCGGATCGACTCGATAGGGTCTAGATGTAAAAAACATTAAAATTAAAAAAAAATAAATGCAATTATTATGTTGTTGTTTTTGACCTATTTATTTTAAGGTCATCGTCAGAGCAAAACAATATTAACGCTGTCTACACATTGACGTAGAATTAAGTTGTTAACACTATTGAACTAACTGTGATGTATTGTTATACTCCTAGGCAATGTTGAGATTGAGTCTATCTTTAAAGACCATTTTATTAAAAATTTAATAACCTTGAATAAATTAGTGGTTATAAAACCCTTAATAACATTAAAATAGGTTAAATGCTTGGCAGATAACTATTGAATTTGTTGCTTTTTCATCCAGGTTATTCGAGAATGAAAAGCGGTCGATATATCTACATAACACTTTAAACCCCTTTGCGATGATAATCTATTGTAGAATTTATCGTCGGACGACGGGCGACATCAAAATACAACATGTAAAAGATGAAAACTTCTGAAATTCAATTTTTTACAAACATAAATAAATATATATTTCTTTTTGGGCGGATGACCTATATATTTTGTTGAAGTGAAATTAGTGAAATGGCCCCTCTACCTTACTGTCTTTCTCTCAATACCAATCCATCTGTAGCTTCTCTTACTGTTCGTCTCTGTCTGCGCATAGAAATAGCGTGAGTCTCTATCTATTTGCCTCTTTAGATTGAAATATATATGCTTTCTTTTCGTTACTGAGTTAGGAATCTCTCTCTCTCTCTCTCTTTCTCTCTCACTCTCTCTTTCTTACCCTTTATCTCTCATTCACTTTTTCTTCCTATTGCTTACTCGTTTTATTAATCTATTCACACTTTTTATCTGTATATCTATTTACACTCTCTCCTTCTCTCTTCTCTTTCTCGCGCTCTCTTATTCTCTCTCTCTCTCTTTCTCTCTCGTCCCTCCTCTCACTCTCTCTACCTCTACCATACCTCCCTCTTTTTCTTTTTCACTCTTCCTCTATCGCACTTTCTCTTTTTTCTACGTTCTTTTCTCTCTCTTACCGTTCACCCCCTCGCACGCACTCTCTCTCTCTCTCTCTCTCTCTCTTTCTCTCTCTCTCTCCCCTCCTCTCACTCTCTCTACCTCTACCATCTCCTCTACCATACCTCCCTCTTTTTCTTTTTCACTCTTCCTCTATCGCACTTTCTCATTTTTCTACGTTTTTTCACTCTCTTACAGTTCACCCCCTCGCACTCTCTCTCTCTCTCTCTTCCCTTCTCTCACTCTCTCTACCTCTACCATCTCCTCTACCATACCTCCCTCTTTTTCTTTTTCTCTCTCCCTCTCTTTTTCTTTGTCACTCTTCCTCTATCACACTTTCTCTTTCTTCTATGTTCTTTTCTCTCTCTTACCATTCACCCCCTCGCTCTCTCTCTCTCTCTCTCTAGCGCGCGTGTGCAGTGGGTGAGTGTGTGTGCACGTCCTCGCGGTTTTCTTTTGTTGACGCCATTTTTATTGGAAGCCGGAACGCACCTAAAGGATAGGCAGACAAAAACCATCGGAAATTATGAAACTACAAGATTACTAACCCCAAGAATATGTCTAATAGTTAATGGATTTTTAACTAAATTAAAAAGTTTTTAGATTTAAGCCCTCCTTTAGACAATCAAAATGTTTAAAAAGACATTGATGTTGATACGGTGATCATCACTGTAAGGTCACGATCTCGGTTTCGAAGTCAGACCCGCATGATATATACCATATTTACAATTGGGCTTATTTCAACAACACCAACACCCCGATGGTTCATATAATCTTGTACTTGAAATAGCGACGTTAAAAATGTATAAAAAGTATATGTTTTTTTATCGAGTATGCGTACTATTCATATTTCTTTATTTAATGTTGTTTCTAAAAACTTTAGTCGTCCAGTATGAAATCAACATAAAGAAAACGTTGTTAAAACTTTGGCCCTTAAAATAAAGGAATTGAATTATAGACTGTTATCTTCTTAGGCTAATATCTGCGAAGACGTTTGAAAAATCTTTAAGCTGGTTGAGGGAAGTTTGAGCATTTTACAAAGGTCGAGTTTAATCGCCGGGAAAATGGTCCAAGCGGAACAAACAGCCCTTTTCCAGGAAGTGTAACTTTATTCGTGTTAATTCTGGAATAAATAACCGTGATATATTTGTCCGTCGACGCGAACAATTGCGACACATCCGATGATGTTACCCTTTCCGTGTGCGGTTATCTCCCTCGGTTATCATTTCCCATGTAGCCAACCCCCGCCAGGTCAAAACGCTCTTCCGTTAATTGAACCTTTTACACTTCCACAGCGCCCATCATTTCCCCGGCCGTTTCAATTTCGTTCAGTCGAATTGGCCCGTTGAAATCCGCGATTTTCTTTTTCCTCTGTGGTCCAGCAATGGATTATTTCAGGGCGACTATTAGCCACAGGGTTAAGAGCATGTCTGCATGTAAGACTCACTTTGCAATTTTGCAAAGAAAATTCATTGAGCCAGGAAAATAAAATAAAATTAAATTTTAAAAAATGGTATTTAGATGCCATCATCGACCAAAAAAATTATTCCAATAAAAATGAACATTATGTAAGCTTTTAGCATTTAAAAAGGTCACTCTCTCTCTCTCTCTCTCTCTCTCTCTCTCTCTCTCTCTCTCTCTCTCTCGCTCTCGCTCTCGTTCTCTCTCTCTCTCTCTCTCTCTCTCTCTCTCTCTCTCTCTCTCTCTCTCTCTCTCTCGCTCTCGCCCTCGTTCTCTCACTCACTCTCTCTCTCTCTCTCTCTCTCTCTCTCTCTCTCTCTCCCTCCCTTCCTATATATCTATCTTTCTTTATCTCTATCTTTCTATCTATCGATCTATCTTCCTCACCCTCTCTCCCGCTCGCTCTACACGAGTATGTTGTGTGGGTGTGTGTGTACTACATGGTGCGGAATATGACGTCACCTAAATTGTTCGGTGTTCTATTATTAAATAGGTGTGTGTTTTTTAGTGACCGGTTGTTTAAAAATTCATTGGATTCGTGAGGTGTGGTCGAGAAATCTTGACCGCTCTTCACGAGTCCAACAAATCGATAAATAAGTTATTTAATTAAGTAACTATTTAATCAAGGTTGGATTAATTTTATACCAGTGATTTTATTTTTCCGCGTATTTTAGAAGAGTTCGTATCATTCAATCAATTTTACTTACAAATAATTCAATGAATGTATTAATATATTTTATATTACAATAATATTCCCGTTAGCTGGAATTTATATTTGGTTTACTTTTATTTATTGTAATTTGACCTAGGTTTTGTGAATACGGAAAAGCAATAAAATATTTAGCAAATAAATAACAGAGTTTCATTAAATTTTAATGAATTTTTACCCAGCATACGTAAGAGTGTTTTGAAAATTGTTTGATAAAAAGGGTTTCAAGGAAAACCGTTCTTTACCACAAGCATATTATTTTAGTTAGACCTCATTTTATTCAAAGGGGTATAGAATGAAGGTTAATTTCTATTTATACTTCATTCCCTTAAAAAAACATCACGGCGTTAAAAGAAGAAGAGGGACGTAAAATAATTCAGAGAGAGCAGAACTTCCATGGCCTTCGGGCTGGTAATCGTCAACCGGGACTAACTGAATACATTACCAAGAACTGTACAATTTAAGCAGAATTATCCTGAATGTCAACACTCCGCGGTAATACTGTTGCAATGGTATACAATGAGGGCAACGTTTCGTCGATCAACACTTTCACCGAAATTAATAATGTTTGTGAACGTTCTTGTTCCAGTTCTGGTACACGAAGGAAGCCAGCTAAGACTGACGAGGGTGTCCCGGTCGGACATGGGCCACTACATGTGCATGGCTTCCAACGGCGTGCCACCAGCAGTTAGCAAAAGGATATCGATCAATGTCCACTGTAAGTAATCACTATGAACTTCTAAGCCTTTTTTTATATAACATAACAAAATGATAAATTTAAATAAAACAACTAATGCAATAAATGCAATATAAATACGCGTTTCACTCCAAAATTTAAATTTATACTTGTAGGCAGGTCAAGTAATTTTATTCTCATCTAGCAATTTTTCGTTCATTTATTTATACTTGTTTATGTTTTTATGTGTACGTGGGAATAATGTAAATATACATAATTGTAATGTAACTGAAATCATTTATAAGGAGAGACTAAACCCGCAATGCTTTATTGTCGTGCCGAACTGTCGGCCTTTAGCGCCGTATAAACGTTTCATCCCATTACACGATTTGTCCTCGGGCAATTCATTATGCACAATTTGCACCACCCTGTATACACTTTATAGACAGTGTAGCACATGACATACAAGTAATTGGACAGAAGTCACAACACAACAGACTATAATCAGCGTTAAAAAATTCAAACATTAAAAACAATGAAATAAGATTACTTTTTCTTCTACGTCAACTTGCCATAATAATTAAGAAATCAATTATCCACGATCTAAACACTAAATTTGATATTGTAAATCATTACGTTTTATTTTACAATATTTATATAATTATCTTCTAGTAGGGCTTGACAATATACTGATTTAGTTCTGTACAACAAAATTTATTAATAAATTATATTTGGAGGCCGTGAGATGCGGTCTAGTGTGACGTAGGTTTTAGAAAAACATTTTCTTTATCGTGCCAACGTTTCGATCTTCATTGAGATCACCATCAGGGCCTGGGATTTGTAAACAATTTTTAAATTTTGCAAGTACATGTAGCATGTGAAAAAATGGAATTTATCCAATGCTAGAAAATTTTAGATTAAAAAAATAAATTTATACAATGCTAGAAAATTTTGGTTAAAATAAAACAAATTTATACAATGCTAGACAATGTTAGATTAAAATAAAACAAATTTATACAATGCTAGAAAATTTTAGATTAAAATAAAACAAATTTATACAATGCTAGAAAATTTTAGATTTGAACAATGAATTTATACAATGCTAGACAATTTTGATTAAAATAAAACAAATTTATACAATGTTAGACAATTATAGATTACAAAACCGGTTGTCCGGCAATTTACATTGGTATTACATTCCAGTATCTCGATAAGAGAGTAAATCAAAATATCTATGATTGCAAAAAACCAAAACAAAATCCTACAGCACTGGCTATCCACCACTTTGAACACCAACACAATTTCGACTTCAACAATCCAAAAATATTACACACAGAACAAAACAAACACAAACGTAAATTTTTAGAAATGTTTTGCATCAACAGGGATAAACACAGCATCAATTACAGAACAGACACATGCAAACTCAGTCGCAGCTACGCCAATATCATTAATCAAATTCAATATTGATAACATACATATATATTCATCACATCACACAAAACATATAATACAACATATAAAACAATTGTAACATTCCACACATAAAACATTTCTACATAGTCTAATTCTTCTACAATTTGGCTTTCCGTCCCCTAATTATCCCTGTCTATACAATCCTGAAAAGATAATCAGGCCGAACTATTTCACATTAAAGAAGCCGACTCCTCATATAAAAATGTCTTTCTATACCGACTTCCTTCCCCCACCCCTTCAAAATCCAACCTACATAAAATAAAATATCGATACCTCACTGGCACTATCAACCCGACAAACAAGAATGACATATCGACACCGAAAACAACACTTTGAGTGAGTACAAATAGTATGATTGAATCTAAAATTTTCTAGCATTCTATAAATTAAATTTTTTTAGTCTAAAATTTTCTATCATTGCATAAGTTCTTTTTTTAATCTAAAATTGTCTAGCATTTTATAATTTTTTAAATCTAAAATTTTCTAGCATTGTATAAATTCATTTTTTTAAATCTAAAATTTTCTAGCATTCTATAAATTAAATTTTTTTAGTCTAAAANTTTTCTAGCATTTTATAATTTTTTTAATCTAAAATTTTCTAGCATTGTATAAATTGATTTTTTTAGTCTAAAATTTTCTAACTGCATAAGTTCTTTTTTTAATCTAAAATTTTCTAGCATTTTATAATTTTTTTAATCTAAAATTTTTTAGCATTGTATAAATTCATTTTTTTAGTCTAAAATTTTCTAGCATTTTATCTTTTTTTTAATCTAAAATTTTCTAGCATTGTATAAATTCATTTTTTCACATCCTTCATGTATTTGTAAAATTTAAGTAATGTTTATAAATCGCAGGCCCTGAAGATGATCTCAATAAAGATCGAAACGTTGGCACGGTAAAGAAAATGTTTTCTAAAACCTACGTCACACCAGACCGCATCTCACGCCCTCCAAATAATCATCAAGTAACGGTCACTAAACACCACACAGAATAAATTATATTTTGTACAATTATGATGTAATATTGATATATAAATATATATGAATATATGTATATATATTTATACCTATATATATATATACACCTATAAAACAAAATTGGTTTCTGTAATCTTTATAACAATATAATACACTAAATAAACAGAGTTCACGCGGAGCACTCTTTTCAAAACTGATGTTCACCAATGCAGCATATACTAAAAATACTGACAGCAGTGTAAGTATTTATGCAGCTTTACACTTATATTTCCTATATTTAATTTAAATTTTGATTCCAATTATTTTTTCATTAACCATCGAAAACCTGTTTCATTCACAATATCCATAAAGTTTTTATTCTCCATCAATATACTTATTATAATCTAGAGTCTTCCCATAATGTCCTTTTTGTTAGATAAGTTCGCCAGTCGGAAAACATACATGTACGCGGGTAACTTTTCTACCAGTCATCGGCCCTAATCACATATTTATTGGCCCTAATTCTGATCGGAGAAATCGCTCTCATTTCAAATAGAGGAAGGACCGCTGTTATTGGAATAAATCACTTCAGTACCGGCCCCACTCAATAATCCAGTCAATGAGGGTCATTTGTTTCCTCCTTCTTATTAAGTCCTCTTAATGTTTTCGTCTTAAATGGGTTGCTGCCCTTTCTTAATATATTTTTTTAATAATCTATATTATTTTTAATATTGAATTTATATTTTGTTTATTTTTCATAACTTGAATTTTCACTCATATTCTAATCGTGTGTTTTCTGAATAATAATGCGCTATTTATAATCTTTCATTTTATTTAATTAATCCGTATTCTTTCCATTTAATTCATGCCATACAATATTGCTATTTAGTTTAATTCAATAATTTATTTTTTGTCCCTTTTATGCCGGTCCGGATTTAATTCCGAATCGATTTTCCCACGAGAACGCGGAGGAAATTTTATTTCCAGATATAGAAAACCTCTTTGTACTAGGAAACTTGACAATATGATTCGTGGACTAGTGTGAAAAATTCTACGCCAGACAAAAACAAACATATTTTTTTTAACTAAGTAAAAGAAACAGATGAAAAAGGCGCAGAATGATACAGTTCGGCAAGACAACAGAGCGTTGGTGGTTTAGCCTACCTCACCAGCAATTTTTAGGCTAAAACATAAAACAAATATACATACTTTAACATAAACGTAACATTTGTGCTAAAAAAATTTCTTATAAAAAAATTGTAATAAACAAGTCCTCCTTATTACAAAAAACTTACAAGCACTTGTTTAAACTTACATCAAGTGTACTTGTGTTCTCTCTAGTTCGACATTTTGTTTGTTAAACATTTAAAATATTCATGGCCATTTCTTTTAATCAAGGAAGAGATAAATTGGTTAATTTTTATTGTTCAGTCATCGTAAATCAACATTAGACAAGTGATTATATTATATTATTTTCTATGAATAAAACAAATTGACGAATAAACCGTTTTCTGAGGCTTAACAATATCTCAAGAAATAAAATGCTTATTGTAAGACTAAATTATTAAGACAAAAAGATTATATTTTTATTACAATAATGTCAATGTTATACATATTTAATCATTCTCTGTAAGGTCTTGGTTGAAATGAAAAAGCTAATGTCATGAGCGGGATTCGAACCCACGACTTTTGGCTACTGGGTTCGAATACCGCTCGTGACACTAGCTTCTTCGTTTCAACCAAGACTTTACATAAGAAGACATGTACAAAGACGTACAAGATCAAAATTGCGTTCGCATATTTGACAAAAGAACCTATAACAAAAATATAAATTTAGTTATGAGTAAACCTCCATAATGATTGGAAATCTGGAACGAATAATTTGTGGAAAGGACTGAATTACGCTTAAATTTGTTATACGGCCCACGTTTTCCTTGAATTTGTCTTGGATTTTAGTGTATCAGTGATCGTGAAATAAATTTACGCTCTAAAAGGTAGAGCCCGGATCTTGTACTAAAAGTCAAAAAGTGAAAGGGAGGAAAAGGAATTCTATTTAATTAAGGAAAAGCCAGGCTTATCTCTTATCTAACGTGATCAACCTGATTAACGAGCATTATAACAGGCGTTGCCAACGGTTCTCGGCTTTTATTTGTATTTATACGTCGGAGAACCTGGGCGTCTTCACCTCTGATCGTATTCCGCTCGTTTTGGGTGGAGGCCGAGGTTTACTTCAAAATTTTGTCAACGCGCTTGCAAGTTTTAATTCCATTGGGTACTTTGATTTTAACGCAGGGCACGAGAAATTTCTCGGCTGGATTTCATTCACTCGGCTTTTGCATGATTTCGGGAAACCCGTGTATCCGCCGTTGTATTATTATGTAATTAAATTCAGAAAATAACACGGCAGTCCCAGCGTGTTCAAAAGAAACTCGAAAATTTGGCAGTTCAAATTTTCCCCCTAAGGGCAACGAGAATTTGACACTTGAAGAACCAAACTAAATAAAAAAACCTGGCATCTAAAGTAAAACTTCAAAAAATCATTAGTAGGAAAATAAAAAATCGTTACGATATAAGCCAACAGAAACTGAAAATAGAACTGCCAACAGAAAT